ATGCATGTGTCGAATACGAGCGACTGACTACCTTCTTCATGGCTAAATATTTTTGACAACGCAGGCCATATCGACCGCTGAGCTTCTTTTCAGCTTTCACACCCCGACGCACTCCACCCATTCCACTGAATGAAACATGTTTTGGATGAACAGTCGGTTGACCTGCAGCAACAGCCAGGCCGGCCTATCCGGGATTAGATGCTAAATGATGAGTGATCCGTCGAAAACGCATGGCACAAGAGAAGCGGCAGACGAAAGCAATCTTCATCGCCACAACACAGCGGCCATCGGTGGGAGACGATAAACACCCTCTTTCCACAGGCAGGCGTGCCGCAGAGAAGGCACACGAGACGTCGTGTGATCGCGAAGACGAAAGAAAGGCTTTGGCGACGAATTTGACGATTTTTTCGGTGCGTTGACTTCTTCTGCGGCAGGACATCATTATCTTGCCGTTCTCGATCTATCAATGGAGAGTGACCTCCGTCGAAACCGCGCCCGAAAGCGCATATTGGAGAGAGACAATAGGATTTGCAACGGTCCAGAAACAGGAACCGCGAGGTCACGCACGCGCGATAATTCCTTCATAAGGCACCTCGAAAGAAGGGCGGCTTATTCCGTGCGTTGACCACACATAAAACTGAGTCCAAACCGCCGACGTTCGCGCACGTACATATGTGGCCGCTCGAAACGAACCTACTACTCACTCGCGTGTAGTGGTGGCAATCCTGGCTTAGGAAGAAGGCCTTTGACATCGTACTATTGGTCTATGTGTATGGCGATATCTCACTTCGTACGTACCTCCATTCATTCCCAGGTGCGGTAGGTTGCATAATACGATGACCCCTGGGCCGATTCCAACCTCGACGGAACGCCCACGACGAAAATGATGGGCCGAAATGATCAATTGACGAGACGTCGGCACTGCTGTCAGTGATTTTCCTGCAGAGTACTGTAGTAAAGTAGAAGTCGAGATTTGAATATCGGTCCAGGGTGTGGTGTGTCATGCAACTGACGGAAGAAACGTTCACCCCCCCCCCTGTCCCATGCGTTCTAAAAACAACATGAACCGAAAAAAACGGCCTCGTCATGGACGGACATGAGGACGATACGTGCCTCGTTGCCTTCCGTATCATTTTCCTGTGGGATGGACACTTACTTTCGCACACCCAGTAAGAGGTCTCGTACAGAGGCGCGCACACGCCAATAAAAAAAAAAACTGATGTGAACGAGCGACGTGGATACATACTTGTTTGGTTTCCTTGCCCATGAGATATCCATGTCTGTCTGTCTATTCGAACGGGAGGTCAGCGCAACAACACAGGTTCCAGCAATCCCACGGGCCGGCTGTCATCCCTTGCCCCGGTTGTCCTATCTTTTTGACGGCCTTGACTGAGAAACGTTCCATGGAAATGCCGTCGTTGGGACGGGTACGCACGCTACTAAGTTGCTGGTTCGTAATACACCCGCGGAAGATGGCTAGCATACCAGTTGCTATGCTCCTTTGTGCAGACAACCCTTGCCGCGTCCTCTCGTTCCTTCTGTGGCCATAATTTGTCAAAAAAACCACATTCAGCATTCACCTCCGACCAACCAGAGTCTGTATGGGAAGAAAGATTCCGGACACAGAATAGGCCACCTCCCCCCCCCCCCCCCGGAAAACAATTTTCAATTTCGGTGTAAAAATAAATAGGGATTTTGGGGGGGTTCTTTTACCAAAAAAAATCCTTTCCCCAATGCCA